TCCGCTCACTGGATTGGCAGATGGTCTTCCTACAGAAGGTAACAGCCTGTGTGGGCCGGCCTGGGTCCCTGCAGCCCCCTCCCTTGCTGACAGCCCATCCCCTGTTCTGCTGCAGTACCCGCCCCCACTGATCCCCCCGCGGGGGGAGGTGAATGCAGCCGACGCCTTTGACATTGGCTCCTTTGATGAAGAGGACACAAAAGGAATCAAGGTACTGGGCCTTGCCTGGCCTCACACTTGAGGCCCAGCCTCGCCTTGTGGGCTCCTTGCCCCTTCTGTGTCCCTGTGAGGCCCTGGGCTGGCCCTGTCAGCTGTGGGCCCCACTTCCTCCTCCCTAGACCTCCCTGGGGGGTGGCGGCTAGAGCAGACCATCCCTGTGCCAAGGCCCTAGGCAGGCCTGTGGCTAATGATGTCCTGGCACCTTCTGTCCATCTGTGTGGCTCTGCCCTGTGCACTTGATGAAGTTACTGGACAGCGACCAGGAGCTCTACCGCAATTTCCCCCTCACCATCTCGGAGCGGTGGCAACAGGAGGTGGCAGAAACTGTCTTTGACACCATCAATGCTGAGACAGACCGGCTGGAAGCCCGCAAGAAGGCCAAGAACAAGCAGCTGGGCCACGAGGAAGGTGAGGCTCGCGGCTGCTGTAGAAATGAGAACCAGGCTTGGGGTTGCGGACCTCGCCCAAGGCCACAGCCAGCAAGTGGCCACACTGAGATCTGAATCTGGGCTTGAGCCTGCCTCTCTGGTCTCTTGCGTCAGACTACGCCCTGGGCAAGGACTGCATCATGCATGGCTACATGTCCAAGATGGGCAACCCCTTCCTGACCCAGTGGCAGCGGCGGTACTTCTACCTGTTCCCGAACCGGCTGGAGTGGCGGGGCGAGGGCGAGGCCCCGGTAAGGAGCGGGTCTGAGGTTGGGGTGCCAGGTGTGGGGGTGGCTGCAGGCCTGCCCCTCACCGCCTGGCCGCCCCGCAGCAGAGCTTGCTGACCATGGAGGAGATCCAGTCGGTGGAGGAGACACAGATCAAGGAGCGCAAGTGCCTCCTCCTCAAGATCCGCGGTGGCAAACAGTTCGTCCTGCAGTGCGATGTGAGTAGGGGCCCGGTGCGGGTGGGTGGCAGGGCTGCTGGCTGGGGCTGACGGCCGCTGTGTGCAGAGCGACCCTGAGCTGGTGCAGTGGAAGAAGGAGCTGCGAGACGCCTACCGTGAAGCCCAGCAGCTGGTGCAGCGGGTGCCCAAGATGAAGAACAAGCCGCGCTCGCCCGTGGTGGAGCTGAGCAAGGTGCCGCTGGTGCAGCGCGGCAGCGCCAACGGCCTCTGACCCGCCGCCGCCGCCCGCCTTTTATAAACCTCTAATTTATTTTGTCGAATTTTTATTATTTGTTTTCCCGCAAAGCGGAAAAAGTTTTATTTTGTAATTATTGTGATCTCCTGTGGCCCCAGCCTGGCCCAGCCCCCAGGGAGGGGCCCGCTTGCCTCAGCTCCTGCTGCCACCGACCCAGCCACTGTCCAGAGCCCCGCCTGACCCCTGGGGCCACCCACTCCCAGTGTCTTCCTGTGGGGAGAGCAGCAGCCCCCAGCAGCCCTTCCACCCCTCCCCAGGGATGAAGCCTCACTGAGCTGCGCCACCTCAGGCCCTGTGTGCCGTGCTCTGCCACGGCACAGCTGGGTGGTCCAGCGTCCCCCCCCAGGGGAGGGCACAGCACAGGGATACTACTTGAACTTTCCCACCACAGGCCCCCCCCTGCAACAGAGGGCCAGGGCCCTGTGCTGTCCTGCCCTCTGGCCATTGGTGAGGAGAGGCCCCTTGTCTCCCTGGCCCCCAAGGCCTCCTGAGGTGACTGGGTCTCTTGGGCCGTTGTTCAGGAAAAGCCCCCATGTCACTGGATGACCCCATCCCCCTGCCCTGGATACTGTGGGGCTCCGCGTGGAGGGCGGCATTGGCAGCATGCTCCCCGCAGCCCTCCTCTTCCCGCCAACCCTGGGCTCAGGACCACGGAAAGGCACCTGTGGGCTGGGCCACACCTGTCAAGTCTGGCCCCAGGTGCCCCCCACCCCAGGCTGGGTGAGACCTCACCTTCCTGGGACCACAGCTGGCCAGCAGGGTGGCTGGGTGGCACAGCGAAGGTCTGTGGCCAGGGCCAGCCCTCCCTGCCCAGGCCAGTCAGTGTGCCCCCAGCCCTGGCTGTCCAGCCCCACAGCCCACGTCCTGTCAGTGCCACTGCCCAAGGGCACCACCTCACCCACCGCATGCCCCCCTGTGCCAGTCGCGCTGCCATGTGTGGTGTCGCGCCTTCTCCCCGGGGCTGGGTCGGCGCCCTCCCCTCTTGTCTACTCACTCCCGGGGCGTTTCTTTGCCGATTTTTGAATGTGATTTTAGAGTGGAAAATGATACTATGCGTTTTTATAAAAAATGGTGCCTGACTCCTCGCTGTTTCAGACTCTTCGTGTCTGGTGACCACTTTTCTACCTCTACCAGGCTAGGACCTGAAGGGGGGGTCTTGGTGGCACCAGGTCCCCTCCACTGCTGTGGCAACCTCTGGGCAGGCCTAGGCCTTCTTCCAGGCTAGACTGGGATACTCCACTCCCTCTCCCATCTGGCCCAGCATGTAGTGCCCTCACCCACCTCCTGGGAGTAGGGGGCCTCCTGCCCACTTCCCGGGTAAGTAGGCAAGCCCACTTTGGGGGTTACACTTGGGCAGACTGGAGCCACCTCAGCCTTACTGAGCCCCTGTACATCAGGCACTGTGCTAGTTTCCGGTCCTCTGGGACAGTTGGGGCACCTCTACCCTCTAGGCCATGCTGTGGCCTCTGGGTCCTTGACCCTCTCTGGCTTTGGACTCCCTTCTGGCCTCACTGTCCCAGTAGGGGTCCCTGGGTCCAAGGGCACCCCAGCGGCAGGCCTCATCTCCCCAGAGTGGGCTTCCTCTTCCCCATGTCCCTGCCTCTTGGCCCTGGGGTGATGAGGCAGGTGTGTGTTGCCTGGTCCACGCGGGGTTCTGCTGGAAAAGGCTGAAGCCGTGCACAGTATGACTGCAGAGCGGGGAAGCCTGCTGGGGCAGCACAGGCTGGGTGGGGTACTGAGGAGTCTTGGAGGAAATGTCCTTTGAACTGGTCCTCCAGATGGGAGTGGGATGTTTCTGGGAGAGGCCAGGCACTCAAAAGTGGCTCCGGTTGACAGTGCGCGGTTGACAGTGCACGAAGGAAGGAAGTAGGCCTGAGAGGCCTGCTCAACCCAACAGGGAGCCCCGCTGCCTGGTGACTGCAGGGAAGATGTGCAGGGAGGGGAATCCCTGAAGGCTCTGACCAGGCTGACTCTAAAACAAATGGCTGGCCACTGCGTCAAGACAGCAACAGAAGCCAAGGGCAGGAGGCAGGCGCAGGTCACTGCTTCTGTCCAAGACGTCCTCTTGATGGTAGGGGCAGAGGAAGAGATGAGAAAGGCCAGATGGAAGAACACTGGCCCAGCAGGAATTTGCTGGGCTTGGGGATGAGAGGGGTGGGACTCTGAGATGGAACACAGGGAAGCACCATTCCGAGGCAGGACACCACAGCAGAGCTGGCCTGAAAGGAAGAGAGGAAATGTGACTGGATTTGGTTTTGCACATTCTAATGGGACACATGGCCAAAGATATCCCAAAGGTGGCTTCAGGGTAATGATGAGGGAAGACAAGTTCTTGCCCAGGGAGAAGCCTGACTTGAGAGTTGGTGGGTGAGAAGGGACCTGGAAGAGTGGAGGGGCAATGCAGAAGTAAGGGCTGGTGGGGAACTGTGTTCAAGACTACAGGCTCCAAGCCCAGACACTCCAACATGAGGCCGCCTTTGAGTAAGAGCTAAATAGCCATTAGCCCTTCTCTATCACACTGTCTAGTCCTTTTACAAAAAGGAAAACCAAGACCATAGGTTTAGCCTTGGGAAGCCCGGGCTGCAGCCTCATCGCCCAACAAAACCAGGACCAGAGACCCCAGGCCCAGCCTCCCAGATCTAAGGGCAGTACTGAGCTAAGACCTGCACCACAGTTTCAGTGTGGGTGGAGGTGATGGCTGTTTCGAAACCCTTCTTCTCCTGGCCTCCAAAAGTGCATCCTTTGCAAAACTGCCCACTGTGGTGGTAGCATTCACTGAGGACTGTCCTCCACCAAGAAGGCTCTGACGCCATGTGGACCTGCGTCCCCTTACTTCCTGCGTAGTGTCATACTTCCATCCTTAACTCCAATGCCCTAGGGCCCGCCTCCCAGCGTCGGTGGGTCCAGTCCGAGGTGTGGTGGCCTTCACACATTCGCCCAGGTCTTTATAAGGGGCTTTATTTAGGCTCAGCTGGCCCATGTAGAGGCAACTGCTGGGTGCTCATCTCCAGAACGCTCAGTTCTCTGCCCAGCAGTGATGGGGCCAGGACCTCCCACTTCAGCAGCAGACAGGCTCAGTCGGTGCCCTCAGGACCCCACCGGGGTTAAGGAGACAGGGGCATGGACGGGGATTGGCCAGGGAAATGCGGATGACCCATTGACAGTAGGACGCGGTCCAGCTGCGCACGCACGCGCACACGCGCGATACCCATCAAGGGTGCCCAGTCCCCGCCCAGCGCCGAGCCTCCCCGCCCCCGGGCCTCCTTCCTCCCCTTCCGGACCCGGCAAGGAGGGTATCTACGCCGGGTCTGGGGCGCCCCCTGCAGGTCGTGGGCGGAGTTGCAGTAAGGCCCCGCCCTCTGGAACGCCCCCCGCAGACCCTTGCGGGACTAACTCCGGGGCAGAGACCCTGTCCTGGCTTTTCTCCGAGCTCGCGAGCTCGCGAGGTATTCCTGGCAGCACCCCCAGCCCACCCGCAGCACAAGGGCCGGGTTGCAGTGATCGCAGCTGCGGGAGGTTAGGGGGCAGGCGGCCCGACGCCCCGCCCCATCCTAAGAAGCCCCGCCCACCTGGACCCCTACCCCGCCCTCCCTGCCGCCGGCGCCGCTGCAGCTGCTGCGGCCGAGGGGCTGGCGGGGCTGCGGTGGGCGCAGCTGGGGCGCGGCTCCGAGCGAAGGCTAGGGCGCCGCGCCAGGCCCGAAGCCGAGCGGGGCTGGGCCGCCCCCGCCGCGCCTGCTTGCCCGCCCGGGATGCGGCGCTGAGGCCCAGCATGGCTGGCCCGGGCCCCACCTTCCCGCTGCACCGGCTCGTCTGGGCAAACCGGCACCGCGAACTGGAGGCCGCGCTGCACAGTCGCCAGGTGAGGCCACGCCGGGCCCCTTCCCAGGGCAGCAGTCTCCATCCTGGGTGCCGTCCGCCCCTGCTCAGCTCCGAGTCTGCATCCAGGCTCCCTAAGCCCCAACCTGATCCGAAGCCCAGTCACCTGCCCTCGCGCCGGAGCACTCTGGCCCAGTCTCCCCGCACCGGGCCTCCATCCACGCTCAACCCCCTCACACTGCATCAATTCCCCGAACTCACCCGCGTCACCCTTGAGCCAGGCTGAAAACAAGATCCCATTCCTAGTGCCCTGGCTGGACCAAACTCCACATTCCTCACGCTCACCTTTGCCTAACCAGACCCCACCACCAGGCCCCCAAGCTCTGCCTGTTGGCATCGGGCAGGGGAGGTGGTCAGTTCCTTCCCAGCCGTCCTCTCCCGTCCCCTGCCAGGATACACAGGCCACTCTCTGCCATCTCCCTGGCCTGGCTTCCTCCTGGTTTCCCACAGTGATTGTATTCCGCGTTCAACCCCATAACCTCCTTGCCTTGGCCTCTCCTCTCTTGCCTGTGCTGAGTGTCCCATCTCCCTCAGCACGACATTGAACAGGAGGACCCCCGAGGTCGGACCCCCCTGGAACTGGCTGTGTCCCTGGGGAACCTGGAGTCTGTGAGAGTCCTCCTTCGACACAACGCCAATGTGGGCAAAGAGAGCCGTCAGGGCTGGGCAGGTACTGCAGAGGGCAGAGGGGCTCCCCTTGAGACTGGCAGGATGGTTTGTAGGTGGAGTGAGTGGCCAGGCCTGGGACCACTGGGGAGGTTTCCCTCAGCAGCCACATGTCCCCAGTCCTGCAGGAGGCGGTCAGCACTGGAGACCCAGAGATGGTGCAGCTGGTGCTCCAGTATCGCGACTTTCAGAGGGCCACGCAGAGGCTAGCTGGCATTCCAGAGTTGCTCAACAAACTCCGCCAGGTATGGCAGGGCACAGGATATAACCAGCAAGGGTGTTGCCACCCCGGCTCCCCCACCCCCCGGCCAAGACTGACCTTGGAAGAGCACTCAGCCCATGCATCATGCTTCCCCACCACTGTCTTGACCCCAGCCCAGGGTCATGTACAAAGGAGAGGATCCCAGGCCCCAGGGGTGAGACTGGACCCTTTGAAAGGAGCCTTCATTGGCATGAAGGGGCCTCTGGTGCCAGAAATCTCTGTGGAGCTTTAGACTTTGGGCATCCTGGAGAGTGCAGATTTCCTAAAAGGAAGTTGACTTCCCAGAGATGCCTGTGCCTGGAATGCCTGGTTCTGTCTGCCCTTCTGTAAGGGAAAGTCCAACTACCTCATGCCTCCCTCCCCCGCTGCTCCAGGAACAGTCATGGAGGAGTCAGTGGGCTCCCTTGACAGGCAGGGCCTCTCAGACACAGAGGCAGCAAAGGACCCTAGTAGGCTTGTGACCAGCTCAAGACCAGAAAAGGCCTCCAGATTCTTATAGCTTCCTTAGGCCTAGACCAGACCCCGCTTGGCCCAGCCCCTCCTGGTCGGGGTTGGGATGGGGCTTAGCTGGGCCATGGCAGTGCATCAAGACTTGCTGGGGTCCCCCAGAGCGGTGGTGGACAAGGATTCCCCAGACCTGCTGACCCCCAGCACCAGGCAGGTGCATGAGCCTCACGGGCATCTCTGGTCTTTCTCAGGCCCCCGATTTCTACGTGGAGATGAAGTGGGAGTTTACCAGTTGGGGTGAGTGAGGATCACTTGGTGGCCAGAAACCTGGAGTGGACTTTGGGGGAGATCCCTAGTGACTTTGGCTTTCCCTGCAGTGCCCCTTGTGTCCAAGATGTGCCCGAGTGATGTGTACCGAGTGTGGAAGCGGGGTGAGAGCCTCCGGGTGGACACCAGTCTCCTGGGGTTTGAGCACATGACCTGGCAGCGTGGCCGGAGAAGCTTCATCTTCAAGGGCCAGGGTGAGCTCTGGGACACTTGTTGCAGACACGAGGCACACTGGCACTCTTGGATTCTCCGTGGCTTCTGAGGACAATACTCTTCTTTTTCTGCACTCTCCAGATGTGGAAACTGAGGTTGGGGGTTGGAGTGGATCCAGGGTTGGGGCTGTACCTACTTAGCAGCAGGTGGCTGAGGGCAGCCTGCTGGTGGGGCCTGGCACTAATCTGTCCTCCTCCCTACACCCTGTGGCTGGCAGAGGCAGGAGCCCTGGTGATGGAAGTGGACCATGACCGGCAGGTGGTGCACACAGAGACACTAGGGCTTGCTCTGCATGAGCCCGAAGCACTGCTGGCCGCCATGCGGCCCAGCGAGGAACATGTGGCCAGTCGCCTCACCTCCCCTATCGTCTCCACCCACCTGGACACTCGCAATGTGGCCTTTGAGAGGTCCGTTGGGGCCTGGCACACCGTGGGTGGGATGGGGAGAGGTAGCAAGAGCCACCATTAGTGAGGGCAGGGCTATCTGGAGGTTCCCTCCTGCTGAGGACTCTGGGGGGCTAAGCCACCTCTAGAGGCTGCTCAGGTAAAGGGGTGGCCACGGCCCAGTATGTCATTCAGCCTGTGGTGGTGGCCTCCCATGGTGGGCTCAGAGTCCCCGCTGCCATTTATAGTGACAGCCGTCTTCCAGGGGTGAGAGGGACTAGATCACGATGTCCTCAGTTCCTCGACTTCTGACCTTACATATTTTCCATAAAAACAAGGATTTAGGCAGTAGAGACAGCCATTTGCACCAGCGGGGGCTCCTCATGGCTTTTCATTGGTGCTTCCATGTCTGGGGCAGAGTCCTCCAGGTAGCCAAGGAACCTATACATGGGCAAGAGTGTTATTTCCCACTGGGCATGGTGGCACAGGCCTGTAATCCCAGTAACTTGGGAAGCTGATGCAGGAGGATGGCAAGTTTGAGGCTATCCAGGGAAACCCAGCAAAGCCCTGTCTCAAAATAAAATCTAAAATGGGGCTGGGGGTATAGCTCAGTGGTAGAGCACCCCTGGGTTCAATCCCCAGTGCCTAAACAAAGAAACAAATAAAAAGTTATTTTTCTGAAAACACATGCCTCCAGTTCTAGTAACAGACTTTGGAAACACTGTTTTCATTCAAGTAGCTTTATTGAGATAATTTTCATATAGCATAGAGCTCACCCATTTAATGTGCACAAGTCCCTGGATTTGGTATATTTCTGGATATGTACCATCACTACAGTCAATTTTAGAACTTTTTTTCCCTCAAGAAGAAACCTCTTAGCTATCACTGCCCTCCCCATTCCCCCGCTCCTCCCCCAGCCCTAAGCATCTACTAATTTAATTTCTGACCTGGAGATTTCCCTATTTTGGACCTTGATATGGTGGGATTTAAAAATGCGTGGTCTTTTGTGTGTAGGCTTCTTTTACTGGTGCACTGTTTTCAGCTCCCAGCTCGCTGCTGCTTCATTCCTTGTCTGACCAAGCCACTGTGAGGTGGTGTCACATTTGTTTGTTCATTTGTCCATTGATAGACACTGTGTTTCCACTCTTGGCCATTACAAATGAGGCTGCCATAAATGTTTTATATAAGTTATTTGGAGAGGTATGTTTTAACTTCTCCTGGTTTTATGTTTCGGGGTAGAACTGCTGGGTTGTGTGGTATCTCCACATTTAACTGTTGAAGGAACTGGTTGCTGAAGGGCCGTACCATTTGGCATTTCTCCCGGCAGTGCCCAGGGTTCCGATCTCTCACCAACACTCAGGATTGTCCATGCCTTTGGCTTGTTTGTTTGTTTGTTGGATCACAGCCATCTTACTGGATGTGAAATAGTCTCTCATGTGGTTGGGATTTGCATTTCCCTAATGACTAATGTCATGGAGCAGCTTTTACTGTGCTTTCTGAAAATAATTTTTTTTAGGTGCTGATGAACCTTTATTTTTTAAAAATATTTTTATTAGTTATAGATGGACACAATTCCTTTATTTTATTTATTTTTTATGTGATGCTGAGAATCGAACCCAGTGCTTCACACATGCCAGGCAAACGCTCTGCCACTGAGCCACAACCCAGCCTCTACTGTGATTTTTGGTTGTTTTTGTGTCTTCTCTGGAGAAATGGCTGTTCAGATCCTTTACAGCATTTTTTTTTTAAGAGAGAGAGAGAAAGAGAATTTTTTAATGTTTTTTTTTTTTTTTTTAGTTTTCAGCGGACACAACATCTTTGTTTGTATGTGGTGCTGAGGATCGAACCCAGGCCGCACGCATGCCAGGCGAGCGCGCTACCGCTTGAGCCACATCCCCAGCCCCTACAGCATTTTTTTTTAAGTTGGGTTTTCTTTTTCACATTTAGTGGTAAGAGTTCTTTGTATAATCTAGATATATGTCCCCGATCAGATATATGTTTTGCAAAAATTCTCTTCATTTCTATGGACTGTCTTTCGGGACTAGCTTGATAGTGTCCTTTGCAGCACAAAGTTTTTAATTTTGATGATGGACAGTTTATTTTCTTCCATTGGTCATTCTTTTGGTGTCTTATCTAATAATAAATATATCATTTTAAATGTAAGGTCATGGAAATTTTTCCGTTTTCTTCCAAATACCTTTTTTTTGAGTGGGTACCAGGGATTGGCCATTATGAATGAGGCTGCCATAAATGTTTAAATACAAGTTCTTTGGGGACGTATGTTTTAATTTCTCCTGGTTTTATCCCCAGCCCTGTTGCCCTGTTTTGTATTTTATTTAGAGGCAGGGTCTCACTGAGTTGCTTAGCACCTCGCTTTTGTTGAGGCTGGCTTTGAACTAGCAATCCTCCTGTCTCAGCCTCCAGAGCCATTGGGTACAGGCGTGCATCAATGAGCCCAGCACAACTAGATCTTTGAACCATTTTTTGAGTCAATTATCATTATTATTATTATTTTTGTGTGTGTGTGTGTGCGTATGCACGCGCTTGCATGCTGGAGAATTCAGGTCACTTTACTGTTGAGCTATATCTCCAGCCCTTTTTATTTTTTATTTTATTTTGAGACAAGTTCTCCCTAAAAGGCAGAGCCTGGCCTCAAACTTGTAATCCTCCTGCCTCAGCCTCCCGAGTTGCTGTGATTACCCACGTGTGCCATTGCACCTGGCTCATAATTTTTTACATATCTTGTAGAACTTTGTTGCCTGATATTTTGTTGAGGATTTCACATCCATATTCATAAACAATATTGGTCTGTAGTTTCCTTTCTTTCCCTTCTTCTAGGTAAATGCTCTACTACTGAGCTACACCCCAGCCTGTAGTTTTCTTATGATATCTGTCTGGTTTTGGCATCTGGGTGATGCCTCATAGAATGAGTTGGGAAGTGTCACCTCTTCATCCATTTTTTTTGGACAAGTTTGTGAATAATTGTCCTTAATTCTTCTTTAAATTATTGTTAGAATTCAGTGGTGAAGTCACCTGAGCCTGGGCTTTTCTTTGTGGGTAGTTTTTGTTGTTGCTGTTGTGTTTTTCTCAAATATTTATTTTTTTAGTTTTAGGTGGATACAATATCTTTATTTTATTTTTATGTGGTGCTGAGGATGGAACCCAGTGCCTCACACGTGCTAGGCGAGCGCTCTACCACTGAGCCACAACCACAGCCCTGTGGGTAGTTTTTTAAATTATTATTACTGTCAGTCAATCTCTTCACTTGTTATAGATCTATTCAAATTATCTATTTCTTCTTAAATTAGTTTCAGTCATTTTGGCCTCACTGGGAATTTTTTCTTTTTTTAAAGAGAGAGAGAGAGGGAGAGAGAGAGAGAATTTTTTAAATATTTATTTTCTAGTTTTCAGCGGACACAACATCTTTGTTTGTATGTGGTGCTGAGGATCGAACCCGGGCCGCACGCATGCCAGGCGAGCGCGCTACCGCTTGAGCCACATCCCCAGCCCTGGGAATTTTTTCATTTCATCTAAATTATCAAATTTGTTGGAGTAAAGTTATTCCATCATATTCTTTTTTAAAAAAATAATTTTCTTTTTTATTTAAATATTGTATTAGTTGTTGATGGACCTTTAGTTATTTATATGTGGTGCTGAGAATCGAACCCAGTGCCTCACACATGCTAGGCAAGTGCTCTACCACTGAGCCACAACCCCACCCCGAAAAGCCAGCCCCCTCCTTTCTTTTTTATTTATTTTTATTTTTATTTTAATATTTTTTAGGTGTAGATGGACACAACACAATGCCTTTATTTTCTTTTTTATGTGGTGCTGAGGATCAAACCCAGGTCCCGCCCGTGCTAGGCGAGCGCTCTATGGCTGAGACACAATCCCAGCCCCTCTCCTTTCCTAATATAAATTTACAGCTATAAATTTCCCTCTAAACATAATTTTAGCTATATTTCATAAGTTTTGGTATGTTGTGTCTTCATTCCCATTAATCTTAAAGTATTTTTTAATGTTTTTAATTTATTCTTTGAGACATTGGTGTTTTAGGAGTGTGTTGTTTACTTTCCACAGATTTGCGAGTTTCTACTTTTCTTTCTGTTTGAAATAAATATTTCAAATTAGAAATCAGTATTTCTAATTTAATTCCATTATGGTTGGAAAAACATACTTTGTACATCTCCTATCATTTCAGTTTTATCAAGGTTTCTTTCTTCCTTTTTTTAACACATTTGGAAACTGTTCATTCATTCAACAACTGACCATTGAGCACCTATTCCATTCCAGGGACCTTTTGAAATGCTGGAGATAAAATGATACAACAGACAAAAAGCCCTTCCCTAGCGGAGATAGACAAGTGAACAAGATAAATAAAGCATACTGTGTGATAGTATAACTAGTGAGGAGAAAAAAATTAATTGGGAAGGAGCATAAGCACAGGAGGATCTTAACTGCCACTGCCCAGGAAGGCTTCACAGCAGAAGGGACTTTGCATAATGACCTGAAGGAGGTGAGGAGCAATCGGGTGGCTGATGAGAGGCAGGGTTTACTGAGGCCTAGCCTATGGTCTATCCTGAAAAATGCCACCCCAGGTGCACTTAAGATTCTTGTTCTTTTGTTGTTGGGTGGAGTGTTTTTAGAATACCTATATAGTCCAGTTAGTTTATAATATTCATATTTTCTGTTTCTTTGTTGATCTTTTGCCTACTTGTTCTGTTCATTATTGAAAATGGGGTACCAAAGTCTCCAACTATTATTGTTGAATCAGACATACTTTTATTTTTGATTTTTCAGAAAATTTCAAGATGTGGGCTGGGGGTGCAACGCAGAGGTTGAGCACTTGCCTGGCCTGTGCCGGGACCTGGGTTCAGCAATGACCAGTACCACCAGAAAACAAAAAAAAAGAAAAGAACAAAAATGTCAAACAACAAAAGAAGAGATGATGTTCTTACTCATCATCACCGGGCTTCAACATTTTACCTTTTTTTTTTTTCTCTTCTGGTACTGGGAATTGAACCCAGAGGCTTTCTATCACAGAGTTACATCATCAGCTTTTTAAAACTTTTTATTCTGAGACAGGGTCATTGCTAAGTTTCCCAGTTTGGCCTTGAACTTGTGATCCTCCTGCCTCAGCCTCCTAAATTGCTGGGATTACAGGCATGTGTCGCTGCACCCAGCAACATTTCACCAGTCTTACTGAATCTATCCTTCCTTACTTTTTTCTTTTCTTTTTCCTGGAACATTTTAAAGCACATCCCAGGTATCATATCTCCTTTGTTGTTGTTATTTTACTTATTTTTAATTTGGTATCATATCTTCTTAACAGTAAATGCTTCTGCACATGACTTTTAACAGATTAGGATATGGTTTTTAACATGGTCCTGACACCATTATCAAATCTAATGAAGTTGATAATCCCTCAGTTATCTTCTAGTCCCCAATCCTTGTTCAAATGTCCCCAGCTGTACAGGCACCCCCTTCAAGGGCCCTTCATGTTGCACAGTGGGAGGGACCCTGGGTGTTGGGCAGCCAGGTGGGGCTCTGGCCAGGTGCAGTGGGGTGCAGGTTCTCAAAAACTTCTGTCTGGTCTGTTGCAGGAACAAATGTGGTATCTGGGGATGGCGGTCTGAGAAGATGGAAACTGTCAGCGGCTACGAGGCCAAGGCAGGAGAGGCCAGTGGTGGGGACTGGGGGTCAGAGATGAAGCCCAGAGGCTCAGCTTCTCCACACCCAACCCCAGTGTGGAAGGAGAGCTGGAGTAGCCCTGGCTCTGGAAGCCCATGAGGCCAAGGGCAGTCGCTGGGGCCCAGGGTCCTGAGGACCTGGCCTGTGCTGAGCCCACCCAGAGCTCTGAGATCAAATGGGGAGAATTTTCTTCTTGGCCCTTGGGCTACCTCTTCTCATTGGTGACTCCTGGGGTTCAGACCCTGCCATCTCCATTGTGGGGAGCAAGATCTCATCTCTTGTCCCCTCTGGTCCTGTGCTGGTAAGGCTGAGTGTAGGGAACAGGGCCTGATCCCCAGCTGCCCATGTCCCCCCTGCCCCCCAGGTGTACAGTGCCACCAATGTGGAGCTGGTGACACGCACACGCACGGAGCACCTATCTGATCAGGACAAGTCGAGGAGCAAAGGTAAACCCAGGTGCGCCTGCCCACTGCCCAGTCATATGCTGGTCTGGGGTTAGGGCCAAGAGTGCCCAGGGACAAGCCAACCCATTCTCAACTGCTCCCTCTCCCACCCAGCAAGAACTCTCAGGTGGAGGGAGGGTGGGGCAGTACAGGTGGCCCAGAGTCCCCTCATGGGCTGCCCCCCTTCTCCTCAGGGGGGAAGACTCCGTTCCAGTCCTTCCTGGGGATGGCCCAGCAGCACTCCTCCCACAGCGGGGTGAGCAGGGCTGGGGGGCGTGGGGCCTGCCTGAGCCCGGGTGGGCAGGGCACATCTCTTCATCCTGAGGCCTAAGGTCCGGTCCTGGGGCCCCCCAGGCTCCTGTGCAGCAGGCAGCCAGCCCTACCAACCCTACAGCCATTTCCCCCGACGAATACTTTGACCCCAGCTTCAGTCTGGAGTCCAGAAACATCGGCCGCCCCATCGAGATGTCCAGCAAAGTACAGAGGTGAGGTCTGGGGACTAGCGGGGGACTTCCTTTAGAGACCAGGATGCCGCTTGGACCGCCTGAGCCCTTGCAGAGTCTTGTAACCCCTGGGGCCCATTATATTCTCACTTGGTGGGCTCTCCCTGGATTCTGCTCCCGAGGGCAGAAGCCATGTCTTTCTTATCCGTGGTCCTGAGCACTTGGCAGGTGCTTTGGCCTAGAGAAGTAGTCACACTTCTTTGATGAATGAATGAATGTGTGGCATGGCCCACGTATGCATTTTATTCCACTTACTGAGCATGCTGGGGCCAGGGCATGGCAGGTGGAAACAGCCCTTGTAGGAAGGACCCACAGCTCTGCAGCCTCAGGCTGTGTCCCTGGGACGTGTCTTCTGCTCCCTCAGTGTCTCCCTCAGTGACATCAGAAGTCACACTTGCCTGCTTCCCACAAGGATCTGATGGTCAGGTGAAAATGGTCACAGTGGACATACCCTTACAGCAGGTCTAGCACTCTTCTGGCCACTTCAGGTGGATCTTCTCAGCCACCCAGTGGTGGAGCTGGGATTTGAACAAAGTACAGCCAACTATATGGTGCTGACCAGTTCTGGGTGGAGGAGGAGGATGGGGCTGTGGATGAGGTCCCGGGAGAAGCCCCTGCTTGCCTTAGACCAGATGAGTGGGCACAAAATCATCACAAGTGCCCGGCTGGAGGCACCTGGGGACACCAGCTCCAGGGGAGGCCATCAGGACAGCTGAGAAGGGAGGAGGCCTAGGCTCATGGAAGGGCCATCAGAGAGTCCCTGACCCAAGTCCTTTGTTTGGCTGGGCAGGTTCAAGGCCACATTGTGGCTGAGTGAGGAGCATCCCCTTTCCCTGGGTGACCAGGTGACGCCCATCATTGACCTGATGGCCATCAGCAATGCTCACTTTGCCAAGCTGCGTGATTTCATCACCCTGCGCCTCCCACCTGGCTTCCCCGTCAAGATTGGTGAGGGGGTGGCCCAGTGCAGCAGGGGGACCTCCCTGGATGTGGGGTCAGACAGCTCAGGCCTGGCTGTCTCCTTACAGAGATTCCCCTCTTCCACGTGCTGAATGCCCGCATCACCTTTAGCAACCTATGTGGCTGTGATGAGCCCCTGGGCTCCGTGTGGGTGCCCGCCCCCAGCACTGCCGTGGCCGCTTCAGGTAGCACCAGCGGGGGCAGAGGGAGGCTGCAGCTTTCTGGCTGTTGAGCCCCAGCATCTGAGTTGGCTCCTCTGCCACCTGCCCAGGGAGCCCTTTCCCATGTGAGGTAGACCCCACCGTGTTTGAGGTGCCCGAGGGATACAGTGTGCTGGGCGCAGAGCGCAGCGAGCCCCTTCGAGACGAAGATGATGACCTGCTGCAGTTTGCCATCCAGCAGAGCCTGCTTGAGGCAGGCACAGAGGCCGAGCAGGTGGGACTTGGGCAGGGGGTGGGCACTGGCTCTGCAGCCACAGGGCTGAGGTGACAACTCTGGGCTCCCGGCCACTGCAGGTGACTGTTTGGGAAGCCCTGACCAACACACGTCCTGGCACTCACCCTCCTCCCCAAAACACAGTGTATGAGGAGCAGCTTCAGCTGGAGCGGTGAGGCCCTGCCTGGCCCAAGCCTCTGGTAGTCCCTGGCAGGGGTGGGTAGCAGGGAGATGCGGTCTCGGGATCCCATTCCCTCTTTAAGGCCATCTCCAGCAGCAATGATGCCTGCAACAAAAGGTGGCATGAGGGACAGGAGGGACAGGTCCTGCTTGGCTCTCTCCCTGACGCGGTCTTGGTCCCCAGAAGCCATGTACCCAGCTCCTTGGCTCCCCCTCCAGCCTTCCCATTCACTGGTTTGCTCTCCCTCTCACGTGGCCTGGCAGGGCCCTCCAGGAAAGCCTGCGGCTGTCCACAGGGTCCAGGGGTCCTGGATCTCCTCAGAGGACGCCCCCATCCCCTGTCCCTCCAAGCTTTGAGGAGCAGCTTCGACTGGCCCTGGAGTTGTCTTCGCGGGAGCAAGAGGAGCTGGAGCGGCGGGGGCAGCAGGAGGAGGAGGATTTACAGCGGATCCTGCGGCTGTCGCTCACTGAGCACTGAGCCATCTGGCCCTGGGAGGGGGTCTGTCCCAAGACTCTCTCGCCTGCTTTTGTAATTTGTTTATTTATTTATAAACTGCTGCTGAGCTGGGGGCCTGGAGCCCTAGGAGTGGGCTGGCAGTGGGAACCAAGATGGAAATAAACCGTCAGCAACAGGTTTGCTGTACTCAATGGCTGGAGCTGGGGAAGGGGTCACTGTGCAGAGGGCTCTGAGAGCAACCACGGATGATGATCTTAGACCTGATTAAGGGGACCATGGCCCCCTTAGCTTGTCTTTGAGTCTCCATCTCTGCATCTGTCAATTGAGAAGACCATCTCCTGAGAAGTTGCAAGGGGCTAACACACCTGCCAAGTGCCCTTACCCAGCAGGTGCTGCATGAACGATTCCCCTGAGCCCTACCCCACCTGGAGACCAGGTTCCTCCTCTCATCCAGCCCTGGTCTTCCTGAAACCTGGCCCTACTCTGGGGGTGGGGGGGCGGAAAGAGGAAAGGCTGGGCCTCTAGACCGTACGGCCCTCACTCCCTACCCTGACTCTAGCGAGTGCCATCAGAGTGACTTTGAGCAAGTCACTTCCCTCTGCAGCTGTAAACCAGGCTTAACTCTACCCCACTCGACCCCAAGTCGGAACTGACAAATTGCCTAGAGCTTCGTGGGCGATTTCTACAGTCCAACCGCATTTCTCTGCAAACTTGCGCCTCCCAAAATCCATGGCGTGAAGGCCAAGCAGAAAGAAGGGATATTGGGGTGGAATTCCTCGACTTAAGGCTCACCGTGCTTGATCCCCATCTCCTGCCTCCCTAGGACTTGGCCTAAAAGGGCTCAGGTGATCTAACTGGGCGGAGCACCGAGGTCCCTGGCAGGGGCGGGCCCAGGCAGGGGCCGGACCCAGGCAGGGGTAGGGGCCGGCCCAGGCAGGGGCAGGAGCGCTTCCTGGTAGGAACCACCCAACGCAGGAGTGAGTTAAGGTAGGGGCAATGCTACCTGCGCCCCACCTCCGGCCCCACCCCCACCGTGGATGGGGCGGGGCGAGGCGGGCCGCACTGAGGAGACCGGAGGGGAGGGAACCGCGGTGGCTCAGTACCGGCTCTGCAAGCCCAGCTGGACTAGAGTCTGGCCCTTTAAGGGCCGCCCCTGAGGAGGTGCCAGGCCCTGGTGGCTCCAGTCTCTCCTTCCTGGTCCTGCGGGGCAGGGACTATCCGTGAGGCTGTGAGAGGGGGTCGTGCCTGGGGCTCGCCCAGGTGTCCCGGGCCTGAGTCCATGGCCCTGGTGACAGTGAGCCGCTCGCCCCCGGCCAGCGGCCACTCCACGCCTGTGGGGCCCACGGTGAGTCTGGTTTGGTGCTGCCCACGCAGTTGGCTGCCAGCTGGTCTGGGGGCGTGCGTCCTGCCCGCAGCAGCCTCCTCCTACTCCAGGGGGTGGGCGGGGGAAACCTCGAGCCTCAGACTCGAAGGGGCTGGGGGTCCTGAGGCTCCCAGGAACCCCACCAAGCAAGATCCCGAGTCCTGAGCGCCAGCCCAGTTGCCGAGGCCCAGAGCCGGGCTATCCCTTCGCACACCTCGGCATTCCCCAGCCCACCCGCCCCGCTGTACTTGAACTTGGACTTCCACAGTACCTCCCCGCAGGGAGGGGCCTGGGAAGAGAATTGACATCTGACACCTTTTCTCTTGGCACCCCCAAGGAACGCAGGGTAACCCCCACACACACCCCCACTCTGAGAAGGGAGGGAAGGAGAGTCGCCCTGACCCTCACGCTCTCCTGGGGCTCCTTTCTCAGCAGGACAGGGCTGCAAGGCACAGAAGCCAGCTCCAGCGCAGGTGAGCATCTTTCCCTGGACACAGACGCCTCTATCCAGCCTGGGGCCATCCTGGACTCCAGGTGTCAGGGACAGAACTCTCCCTGGAGAATTTGCAGCCAAACTCTAGCGCTTATGTGCCTTGGCTCCAGGGCCTGATCGGCTTGGGACAGACGCATAGGGCTACCTTGGCTTCCATCTCCCTCCTTCAAGGAGAGTCATCTGGCACTCCTTTGCCATCCTTTACCCACTGCCCCAGTCTTTGGCTTGGGCTAGTGCCAAAGGGCAGGTTGAGGTGGCAGGACCTGACTCCTGGGTCCCCCACCAAGTTTACACCTCTCTCCACCGGGCAGGTGGGAAGGGAAAGGAGCAGCCCATCCCTGCTCCAGGTGAAGAGGGGCTCAAGGGCTGAGGCTGGTTCTGCAGGCTGGCGGCCGTCACCAGGGCCAGTCAGAAAGCTCTCGCACCTCCACTCCAGTCCTAAGGACTCTCTGGGGAGGGGGCCCACAATCCACTTCAAGAAGCTCTCCAGGAATTCGGACACCCCTGAAGTTTGAGAACCCTGGGGCCATAATGATCCCCACAACCCTGTCAGGCAGAGCTTTGCCGTGCTGCGTGGGGCTCTCCTGGGACTGCAGGACGGGAAGGACAGTGGTAATGCAGCCGAGGCCGGCTCTGAGCCAGCGGAGGAACCTCAGGATGAAGAGCAGCCTGTTGGGGACCAGACAGACAACGGGCAAGGGCCCCAGAAACAGGAGCAGAGGCAGCACTTGCACCTCATGGTGGAGTTGCTGAGGCCACAGGATGACATCCGCCTGGTGAGAGGCCATCCATAGCCCACACGGGGAGGGGGTGGAGCCCATGTGTCTGATGGGGGCACCCCGAGCAGTGGAGGAGATACTGAGTCCTGAGGACCCTGCTATTTCAGCTACTGACATTTTAATAGGCCGAGGTCATGGCTGCCGGTCTCTGGAGGGCTGTGAAGGACTCGGAGGCTTGTCCTGCATGAATGCCAAATTAGGTCCATGAGGTGGGAGTCAGGGGAGGGAGACTTCCTGATGACATGAGTAACCCAGAAGTGCTCAGGGCGTCCTCCATGTCCAGGGAGGCTGAGAGCCAGCCCTCAAAGACTGCAAACACATCAGTAGCAAAATGTGAAAAACAAGATGCAGTCTTTTGTAAAGCTGGATTTCAAACAGGAGTTCAGGCCATGAGATTAGGCCCTTAAGAGTTCTTTTTGTATGTGGTGCTGGGAATTGAACCTATGGCCTCATGTAGGGTTTTTATAAAATCACGTTTCCAGGCAAAACCAAAAACTGGGCCACCTGTGAGTCCCATTTCTCCCCCATTATTTATTTTTTTTTTTTTTGGTCCTAGGGATTGAACCTGGGGGCACTTTACAACTGAGCCACATCCCCAGCCCCTTGTTTTAAAATTTTGAAATAGGGTCTCGCTAAGTTGCTTACAGCCTCATTAAATTATTGATGCTGGCCTCAAACTTGTGATCCTCATGCCTCAGCCTCCCAAGTTGCTGGGATTACACATACCTGGCCCCTTCCCCCTTTTTATCCCCACATAGTCTCCTTTCAAGAAAAAACCTTTTGAGGCTGGGGTTGTGGCTCAGAGGAAGAGTGCAAACCTTTTAAACATTTCAGTGGACTGTGAAATCCACAAGTTGGGAACCACTGGATCCTAGGCACTGGTCTTAAACCTGGGAACTGGGGGTGGGAGTGGGAGACACAGGGTCCAGCAGGGCTGTTCTGGACTGGGGTATATCCAAATGGGGTGGCAGAGTAGGGTCCCCAAGGACACTGTGATCTGGGACTTCTCCCATCTTCCCCAGGCAGCCCAGCTGGAGGCAGCCCGGCCTCTGCGACTCCGCTATCTGCTGGTGGTTTCCACAAGAGAATGCCTGAGCCAGGAGGAGACAGTCCTCCTGGGGGTGGACTTCCCTGACAGCAGGTGGGAGCAGGGAGAGGAAGGGATGGGCCAAAGAGGTGAGGTGCTAGGGACTATGGATCTCTCTCTCTGTCCCTGCCAGCTCCCCCTGCTGCACCCTAGGTCTGGTCTTGCCCCTCTGGAGTGACACCCAGGTGTACCTAGATGGAGATGGGTAAGCCATGGCAACTGGAGAGGTGGGTGGGGAGAGACTAGGGCAATAGCAGACCTGGATTGAGGTCTGGGACCTACTCTTACCTCTACCTCAAATTCACTGTGTGATCCTGGGCAAGTCACCTAATTTCTCTGGGCCTCAGACTCCCACATCTGACAAATGGGTAGGTTCTCTGTCTGAGTTGGAGTTTGACTCCACCCTCACCTCATCTCCTCAGTGGCTTCAGTGTGACATCCGGTGGGCAGAGCCGAATCTTCAAGCCCATCTCCATCCAGACCATGTGGTAAGTGTTGCAGTGGCTGAGCCCCAGGGCGGCCTCTTATCCTTGGGAGATGGCTGCAGGGAAGGCAGTGTGACCCAGACTCTTCTCCTGTCCCAGGGCCACGCTCCAGGTGTTGCACCAGGCATGTGAGGTGGCTCTGGGCAGTGGCCTCATACCCGGCGGCAGTGCCCTCGCCTGGGCTGCCCACTACCAGGAGAGACTGAACTCTGACCAGAGCTGCCTCAACGAGTGGATGGCTATGGCTGACCTGGAGTCCCTGCGACCTCCCAGCGTAGAGCCTGGCCAGTCAGTGCAGGGGGGAGGGCCAGGGGGAAGGGCAGGAAGGAAAAGGTGGAGGGCCCTCTAACTGAGGGGTTCTGCTCCCAGGCCCTCAGAGCAGGAGCAGATGGAGCAGGCGATCCGGGCTGAGCTGTGGGAGGTGCTGGACACCAGTGACCTGGAGAGCATCACTTCCAAAGAGGTGGGCAGGGTGGGTGGGGCCCGGGGCTTGCCTCTCCCTGGAGCCCTTCCCACCTGCTGCCCTCCAGTTCTGAACCGTCCCCTCCCCCATACCCTGGCCTCAACCCAGTCATGGTCTCAGCTGTCTAGATGGGAAGGGTACTGTCCTCAGAGGCCCCAGATGGGGGGAGGGGGCGTGTGTCAGGAAGTTCTCCTCCTCTGGGTGCTGCCCACAGATCCGCCAGGCCCTGGAGCTGCGCCTAGGACGCCCTCTCCAGCAGTACCGGGACTTCATTGATAACCAGATGCTGCTGCTCATGGCCCAGCAAGACAGGGCTTCCCGCATCTTCCCCCACCTCTACCTGGTGAGCAAAGGCTGCAGGGGTGGGCTACAAGACCCCAGTGGCTGCTGCTCAGAGGCATAGACAGGCAAGGGAGCCTGGTGCTTCTCTCCACTCCACAGGGCTCTGAGTGGAACGCGGCCAACCTGGAGGAGCTACAGAGAAACAGGTGGGCTCCGGTCCTCTCAGGACCCCTTCTCTCGGCATCCGCTTAGGGAATGGCCTAGCCAGCTGTAGAAGCCCGTGACCACTCTTCGCACCCGCTGCTCTGCTTCCAGCCCCACCCGACGCTGTTGCCCTTGCATGGGCTCTCGGGGTGGATGGCAATCTTACTGCCCCACTGGCCAGCTACTGGCCCCTATCTGTAGAACCATGCCAAGAGGAGGGCAGCGGCCTGCACTGCCATGGACCACCTTTTCCAAGCAGGAAATGGCTTCTGCACACCTGCCCATGTCTTCAGAGAGAAGGAAATCCCTCCTTTCCAGTGGGGACCTGATTGCCTGCTCTGTGCACGGGTTTCTGGGAGACCTGCTAAAGTCCCTGTCACTTGCTGCTGCAGAGCTACCCAATCTCAACTTAGTTCAAAAGATGGGCTCTAAATTCCAAGAGTAATGGAAGGGTTACTGCTGTAGTGACCTCAGCCACCTGGACCAGCTGGGGAAACTCGAGGCCAACAAGGTAGAACGATGTGCTCGTGGTCAGTCATCTGCCAGCAGGTTCAGCTCTCTTCCCACCAGGAGCGCTGCACCACCTGACTTTCAGAGCCCAGAACTAAACAAGAAACACCCAAGGTCTGCTGGGTCTGGTGGCCAGTGGGCCTGGTGCCTGGTGTCCATGTCAGCCTGGCCTTGGGCCCTTTGGTACAGGGTCAGCCACATCTTGAACATGGCCCGGGAGATTGACAACTTCTACCCTGAGCGCTTCACCTACCACAATGTGCGTCTCTGGGATGAGGAGTCAGCGCAGCTGCTGCCCCACTGGAAAGAGACACACCGCTTCATTGAGGCTGCGAGGTCAGTTCTTCCTGGCTCCAGCGGCCCAGTCCCAGTCTCACTAGCTGGCCCCGGCTTCTGGCAGACCCAGTGTCTTCCTCCTGCCCATTCTGCCCTCAGCTCTGTGTCCTACCCCAGCCCCATTTCTGCTGGGTCAGAAGCCCCTACCTGCCCCTCTCCCCACGCTGCAGGGCCCCTCAGGTGAGGAAGGGCTGGGGACTAACCATATCCCCCCCTCTTCAGAGCACAGGGCACCCGGGTGCTGGTCCACTGCAAGATGGGTGTCAGCCGCTCGGCCGCCACGGTGCTGGCCTACGCCATGAAGCAGTACGGCTGGAGCCTGGAGCAGGCTCTGCTCCACGTGCAGGAGCTCCGGCCCATTGTCCGGCCCAACCCTGGCTTTCTGCGCCAACTACAGACCTACCAGGGTATCCTGACTGCCAGGTATAGACGGGGGACAAGGAGGGATGGTGTGGATGCTGGGAATGGCTGCTGGGCCACTCAAGGCTGACTCAAGGCCACCTCCTCACAGCCGGCAGAGCCACGTCTGGGAACAGAAAGTGGGTGGGGGCTCCCCAGAGGAGCCCTCGGCCCCCGAAGTCTCTACACCATTCCCACCTCTTCCACCAGAACCAGGGGGCAGTGGGGTAGTTAAAGCTATGGGCTTGGAGGAAAGCCAGGCAGCCCCAAAAGAAGAGCCAGGGCTGCGGCCGCGCATCAACCTCCGCGGGGTCATGCGGTCCATCAGTCTTCTGGAGCCCTCCACAGAGTTGGAGGGTGCCTCCGAGGCCAGTGACCTCCCAGAGGTGAGGCTGGGTTGGGGTTCCATCTGTAGTGGTGGGGGCCATGAGGAGGAGGAGGGATGGGGGAAGACCAGCACTAGTTCTTGGCTTTAGGCCCTGAGCAGGGGGATCTCGGGTGCCTGGTCCTTGCTTACTCTAGTTTGTCCACCTAGTACCTCTCACCACCAGAGAAGTGTATCCCCCAAGCTCCCCAAGGATGGGTACCACATCCTGGGCATCTCCCTTCCCCCTTCTGAGCAGTTGAGGAGACTTAGTGAGGGCAGGTGAGGTCTTGGGAGCTGCAGAACAATCAAGAAGCAGGGCCAAGCCAGCCCATTCCAGGTCACGCAGCCTGACAAATGGACCTGCTTTCTAAGGGGCTTGGCTTCCAGCTGTGGAATGAGCATCTTCCTCAGGCCCTGAGTGTCACAGCCAGCTTTTGGTCCTGGAGACATATCTTGCTTGCCCTAGGTGGGATGGGTAATATGGTCTCCCAAACCCGAGGAGCCCTGCGATGGAGGATGGGGTGGAGAGGGCTTTAGCAGTCACAGGGCCCAATTATGACTGAGTGAGGAAGAACCCTGTGTGCTAAGTGCTTTAGGGCACTAAGCTAGGACTGGAAGCTGATCCTTGCCTGAGGAAATCAGGCCCAACAGTGACTCAAGGTCAAATGGTTGACCCAGAGGAAAGAGAGTCTGTGGAGTGCAGGAGCATTTGCATGGACCAATAGGGAAGCACTGAGGTTGACGGATGGGTGTGGGCATTGCCGAAGGCTGGCATTCTCACCAGGAACCCAGACCCATGTGTCTACACAGCCTAGTTCGGGGCCTGGCACCGAGTTCCTTCTGTGGCCCACTAGGCCGACTATACAAAGAGAGGTGGGAGGAGAGGCTGGTGAACCCCGGTGGCGGGTGCAGGGCAGTGAGGAGAGAGCTTCTAGGAGCCAGAGGAAAGCTGCAATTAGGTGAGGGCAAGGACCTGAGAATAGCTCGATTTCTCTGTATTCACTTGACAAACATCCTGCACCTACCTTTTTCCTGGCTCTGGCCTCCCAATGGCTCTTCCTATCCTTCACCCTTCCAGGTTTTTTCCTCCCATGAGTCTTCAGATGAAGAGCCTCTGAGGCGCTCCCCTCAGCTCTCAGGGGCTAAGGGAGGCCGGCAGGCCCAAAAGGGGTCTTGGCCTGCCCTGAAGTCTCGCCAGTCTGTGGTTGCCCTCCAGAGTGCTGCCCTCGTAGCCAGCCGGACGCGGGCCTTCCAGGAGCAGGAGCAGGAGCAGGGGCCGAAGGCTGGAATATCCTCCACACCTAGGCTTCGGAAGGTGGTGAGGCAGGCCAGTGTGGACGAAAGCAGAGCAGAGGGCGAGGCCTGACCTCACACACGCCTTCTCCCCTTAGGCTTTAAACAGAGAAACTGATCCACTGCCCTCAGCAAGCACCCCTCACACCTGCGGCCCGCACACACTCCCTTGAGCTCCTCCTGGCAGGACCACCCAGACCCTGTCACCACAGCACCTCCTACAGCCTTAAATCTCAAACCACCCGTCAAGGGCTCAAAACTTTCTTTTTTCTTTTTTATGGTATCGGGATTGAACTCAGGGGCACTCGACCACTGAGCCACATCCCCAGCCCTGTTTTGAATTTTATTTAGAGACAGGGTCTTCCAGAGTTGCCTAGCGCTTCGCCATTGCTGAGGTTGGCTTTGAACTTGTGATCCTCCTGCCTCAGCCTCCCGAGCCACTGGGATTACAGGTTGCACCACCGCGCCCGGCAAGAGCTCAAAATTTTCTACTGGGGTGTGGGTAGAGTGAATGAAGGTGCCTTGGGGAGGGCACCCTAGTTTCATTCTCAACGCTCCCTAAAATATTCACTTGCAGTCACGGAATCAAAAATAGAGCTTTTAGGGCAAATTTTCTGGCTCAGGCCCCATCTCAACTCCTGTACATCCCATCCTGGTCCTTCCACCCTCACCCACTGTCATGGAACCAGTGGTCCCCAAAGGCAGAAAGGACCCTCAATCCCCAGCCCCAGAGGCTCCGAGGGAGCTGGCAGGTCAACTTCACACACTTCACAACTGGCCTGCTGCTGCCCTCAGTCCTCCCATGGCCCTCAGTGGTTCTTGGGGGATCAGGCCAAAGAGCCGCCTTCTGTCCTTTGTGGCCTCTGGCCAGTTTTTCAGAATTATAGTATCTGACTTTGTACTGAGAAATAAAAAAAATTTTTCACATTGTGATTTTACATTTGATGATAAAGCCATCTGTCTTTCACTCAGATCCTTCTCTGTTTCTAAAAGGAGGTGGTTGGCCTCTCCTACTCCTTCCAGTTTTGTCACTGTTCCCAGGTGTCCTGTGACAGCTCAGTTTGGGCAAGTGGTATATTTGGGGGTGGAGTGGGAGTTAAAATGGAGAGGAGGGATGACAAGTGCTATTTCCCTCCTCTCTAGGGCAGGGCCTGGGTAAATGTTGGCCATGCAGGCTCCCTCACGGGAGAACAAGTCTACATGGGGAGCAGGCATTTGGCTCTGTTGGGACAGCTGAAGGGAATTATATATGAAGAAATGGAAGATGCTACTGCCTATTTGGGCAAGACCAACCTATTCCAAAAGCTAAAACTCCTTTTGGACACTTGATGCCAGTTCTTGAGCATATTTATGGTTCCAAGAATCACCCTTATGGGACTGGGGTTGTAACTCAATGGCAGAGCGCTTGCCTAGCGCATGTGAGGCACTGGGTTCCATCCTTAGCACCACATAAAAATAAATAAGCCAGGCACAGTGATGCATGCCTGTAATCCCAGCATCTCAGGAGGTGAGGCAGGAGGATCTCAAGTTCAAAGCCAGCCTCAGCAAAAGCGAGATGCTAAGCAACTCAGTGAGACTGTGTCTCTAAATAAAATACAAAACAGGGCTGGGGATGTGGCTCAGTGGTCAAGTGTCCCTGAATTCAATCCCTGGTACCAAAAATAAATAAATAATAAAACAAACAAACGAAAGAATCACCTTTCTCCTACAATGAAAAAGAGCCTGATTTTCCAAGCCAACTAATAAATGCCAGAGAAGGATGTTTGGTGACCCTACTCCTTCTGCCTAGAGGTTCTTTTACTGTTTAAGAAGAGTCAATGCTTCCATCTTGGTCATTTTTGTCTCTTCCCAAGATCATTCTCTCAGGTGCCCCACGATATACTACAGTGTTGGGGGAAGGAGGTAGTACTCAATTCCTTTGTTCAAACCAGGGCTCAGAGATAGGAGCTGGCAATGAACATCATCACACTCATTGAGACCATGTACCAAGCTTTACAAATGAATCTCCCAGCCCCTGGGGGATGCCCAGACTACTCTAACCCTAAAGCACTGTGGGGCAGGAGACTTGGACTCCAGCTCTGGCTTCACAATTCCAAGTTATTTCACCTTAAGTCTCTGCTTCTTTCTGTAAAACAAAGGGATTAGACTTTTAGCTCTAAGAACCCCTCCCCACTAGATTTTTGTTAACAATGAATGCCATTTACCCATAGCTAGAATTCAGTCTCTGTGTGCTCTACAGAAGAGGAATCATTTGCACCTGTCTGGGTGGCATGCCTCAGGTCACAAGGTGGATAAGCTAGTTTCCATTCATGATCCATCTGGCTGAGCAAACACTGGGGCTGCCCACCTTCCTGCACTCAACCAGTAGTATCACCAGATTGCTCTTTCAGTAGTCTTAGCCTGGGGTTGCAGATGGGTAGCGCTACAGTGTCAGGACAAAAGCCAATGCCAGGCTCAGCCTTCTGCAACCTGGGCACATCAAAAAGTGGGGTTCAATGAACTGCACAGTGCCCCCAACACACACTAGAATCCGAGACTTTTAAGTAAAATTTGGCATTTGGGAAACAGACTGGAGGGGAAACTATTTGCACTAAAATACAAATAATTAAGAACAATATGCATATATAAAGCTCACACAAATTGCTAAGAAAAAGAAGAAGGAAAAAAATAGTTAAGAAGGATATAAAATGTAAAGGCTCTGACCATGTCCTCTGGTCCCTCACTTCTATCTCTATAGGCAACAGCTGTTACAGCTTCTGAGGCCCTCCGAAGACAATCCATGCTTATGCCATCAAATACATGAGTATGTATATTCTTTTAAAACAAGACAGCATACTAACATACTATTTTGCACTTAGAATTTTTTTTTTTTTTTGTATTACAAGTTCCACGCTGGCACATAAAGATTTGCCTCATTTTAAAAATCACCACAAATATTCCATTTTATGGAATTCATCATTTATTTAGGCGGTTATTTATGGATGAACACTTTTTAATCCCATTTCAAGCAATGTCTCATTAATCACTCCTGTATATACATCTTTCCACATACTTAGCCACTAAATCTGTACTATGGATTTCTAGAATTGCTAAAGCAAAGGTTATGCACATTTTAAATTTTGTGAGTCATCATTTAATATCTTTCCAAGAAGTTGCACCAATTTACAGTGAATGGGAAAGTCTGTTTATGTCCTTAGAGAGCCGTGCAGCCTACACAGCCATGTCATCACCACGCAACAATCCCAGAGGAAAAAACGGAGGGCCTTATAACACCGTTTCTGGACTTAGAGGAGTTAAACACTGAATCAAAAACGGAGCCTGAATCAGATGCAGGTTTCTAGATTCTCATCCCAGGACCTAACTCTGGAGTGGAGGCTGGACAGTCAACTCACCGACTCACAGTTCTGCCCAAGGTCCGCCCTAGGGCGGCCAGTGCTGGGGTACTACCCGATGCCCAGCCCCAAGAGCCCCGCGGCAACGAGGAGCTGGGGTGCCTGGACAGCCGGTCCATCCTGGGCCAGCTCCACCTTCAAAACCTTCTCCGTCAGTCCAGCCCTGCCAGGCCCTGGGCTGGGGCGGGACGTTCGACGCGGCCGCTCCTCCACCCAGCACCAGGGGAGCCCCATCTTCAAACTGCAAAATCAAAGGCGTTCAGGAGACCGTGCGTCCTCCCCTTTACCCCGCACCCTAGACTCCTCAGAGCCCGACTGCGCGAGAAACTACCTTCAAGGCCTGTCCTGCGGCGGCCGCGGCCGGGGTCAGTCCTGGGAGCCAGGCTCAACAGAACCGCAACGCTCGGTCGCCACCTTGCGTCCATTCCTCCGATCCCCGGGCGGCCGTGGAAACCACATTTCCCAGCGTGCCTAGCGCTCCCGCGCAGGCGCAAAGAGCGTCTTCTAGTTTCCATGGGAACCTCGTCCCTGGAGTCCGGGCCGCGCAAGTCTGAGTTGGGGTAGGGTGTTGCTCCTGCGAAGGTGCACTGGAGCTAGGACCGGTCTGCAGACCATTGATGGGCATAGTGGGGCGCTTGAGGGAGCGAGGCCAGTCCTGCCCTGCTTTCCGGAACCATCCCTCCCGTATTCGTCCGGGCGTCCTGGCGTCCGCGGGCTCCTGGGGCCTCGGCGTTCTGAGGTGCAGGGGCTTGGGTCTGTCCGCGTCGGGCTTGGCTCGCGCCGGCGCAGCGCAACTGCCCCAGCGCCAGGGCTGGTCACCTCCTTCCGAGGGCCTGCGCGCCGACGGCAGGTACTCCTGAAGCGCGGGCCCGGGCGCGGGCGGCCGGCGGGGGTGGCTCGCGCCGCGTGCGCACGTGGAGGTAGCGTCCGGCAGGCGTCCAAGGCGCCTGGGGCTGGAACCCTCTCTGTGGTGGGTGGTCGCGGGACTCCCAGCCCCTCTGGGTTTCAGTGCCACTCCCGCGTTACCCGCCTCCCGGCAGGTAAAATTGGACTTGGACCGAAATCCTCAGATCCATTGCGATGCTCTCGCAGAGCAGCCCCTGGCGCTGTGTGGCCCAGAGGAAAGAAAACTCCTTTATCTTGCCGAGCCCAGGTTCACCTCTGTAAAATAAGGGCTTGAAACAGATGAACCCCAGGGTGTCTTCTAGTGGGCGATACTTTACCCCATGGTGGGTTCATTGCTCCTCACTGAGCATCACGTGCAAGAAGAAAGGGAACTAGGTTGGTTTGAGAAAGGATCTCACCTTGGGACGAGGAGTCAGAGAAACTTGTGCTTGGTTGCTGTTACACCTCTTGAGACTCATGAGGACATGTGTGTAACAGGGGATCATGACAGTAGCACCTCTGGTTTTGAAGGATTAAACTAGATAATGCACATGCCTTTTTTTTTATCCAGCATTTGCAGATAGTAAGCATTATCCCAAGTCTCGGATTTCTAATATTCTTAAAGCATCCACTAGCTCTTTTCCTAATTTCTGAAGTCGTTTTCTTATTTCTGGGCAAATCCATTCTTCTAGGCAGGATGGTTTTATGGGCTGATTCTGGTGGGGGAAGCTAGAGTCTTCTTTACCCACGTTTGGATGTTCAAGGCCAGTGTATCTGCTCCTTCAGTGGTAATCTAGTTTTTATCATTACCACACCACATAGTATCTAGGGAGGACACAAGGCCCAACAACACATAGTGGGGAAGATTCTTTCCTTCCTTAAGATTTGTAGAGCATATGAGCACTTACATGTTATGAAGCAAACTATTTCCTGGGCACTTTTTGAGCACTTATTATGTACCTGGCACTATTCAGGGGGTACTCTGAGGGATACAATGATGTATAAGAAAATCTTTGCCCTCAAGAAACATAAGTTCTTGTGGGGGAAATCTGTTATGTGTACAGACACACATAATTGAAGTTGAAAGTGATGTATCATAAGAGAGGTACAGGTAGCCGGGCGCAATAGTGCACGCCAGTAATCTCAGTGATTTGGGAGGCTGAAGCAGGAGGATTGCAAGTTCAAAGCCAGCCTCAGCAACTTAGCGAGGCCCTAAGCAATTTACCAAGAACTTGTCGCAAAATAAAACATAAAAAGGGCTGAGAATGTGGCTCAATGGTTAAAAACCCCTGGGTTCAATCCCTGGTACAAAATTGAATAAATAAATAAGGGAGGTGGGATACAGGTAACCATGCTATGGAGACTTAGAGACCAGAGACTTCTGCTGCGTGTGAGCCTCCTAAAGCATGTGGAAAGTGTGCACAAACCAAGAAGTAGGGAAGAGATATTCTGCACACCCTTCCCACAGCTTTGAGGCACACAGAGGAGAAATGTCTGTAGCCCTGACTAGAAGGTAGGGGTTAGGTTTTGGTCAGTGTTTTACCACTGCTTGACATGTGGTTGGCACATAGCACGTAACAATGAATTTATAGAGGCTGTGAGTTTCCTATAGAGAGGACCAGACTGGAGTGTTGGTATTACCCTGGGCCTCTAATTAGACT